TCAAATCGTTGCCCATAGGAAGACGTTACTTGCATATAACCTAATGGAATATCTTCATAACAGCTCCAAATGACACAAAACTAATATGGGTGAGTAGAACATGATGTACTAACGTAAAATCAAGGGCCCAATGTAAAAAAAAAACGGCCTTCCCCTTTAAAACATCAAGAAAGTAGATCCAACGTCATTATTTTACTGTAATAATGGCATGGGAGCTCAAAAATGCCAGCTCCTGTGCAGCTACTTCACAATGACAATATGGAGTTGTGTCTGCTTCTTTCCTGGAGATATAATGTGTAGCTGTGTGCAGTCTGAGCTGTTGTTTTAGCTGCTTATCTTTTTCAGTGTGGATTGCTCTGGTTGATATTCCTTTAGACCTGACAAGAAGTAAGTTTGGACACTCCTCCTTAAAATTCTATTGTGCCTAACCTACATAGCTGCCTGCAGGGAACATGTAATTAAACAGCCACCACCGATGGAACCAGGTTTATCCATGCAGCACTAAGAAACTCTTAGACTGTAATAAAGAATCACCACAGTCTTGACAGAATAGTTTTGGCAGCATATGAGGAGCAATCACTGTTTAACTTATGTGATCGCTTAGAATCCCTCATGCATTTCAGAAGACCTTTCCAAGAGAAAGATCATACACATTTGTGTAAAAAAAAATATTCTAGATTATTTGCATTTTGAAGGCTGGTTGAATAGGAGATGATAAGCAAACTGTCAAGAATTGCCTATGCTTCACAGTGCAAGTGTTTTGGAAAAGTGTTATTTACAGGATTTATGATCAATGAGTCTTTACAGTAGAAACATCAACATATGCTAAGTTTGATGTTATCTGATAGGACTGCTTCTTTGTTCTTTACTTTGCTTTTAAAGCCTAGTAATGCCTTACTGTCATTTTATCCATCTGTTCTTCCTATTATTAATACAGTAATTTTCCAAACAATCCATAAACGGGAAAAAAATATTAATGCCAGCTCTCTTTCAAAAGAAACCACTATGATGTCTGTCTTTCCTAAATGTTGCCACAAAGATTAGGCAAGAAGGAAAAGCTAGAAGCAAAAAAAAAAAAAAAGGAAAACACTAAAACATATTGTTTATAGGAGGCCTGTGGACATCTCAAATGCACTCAGAGCGGCCATTAATAAAAATAATTAGCACAGGAGATGGGCGGAAAAAAACATGGGTCAGTGAGGCAGATGTAAAATCTCATTTCTTTTATTTAATTTAGCAAAAGCAGGAGCAGGAAACCAACAAATCATGTTGGAAAACAGAGCTCAACCATAAGACATCTTTATTCTTGAAGGGCAGAAATAAACACAAGCACAAACAGATAGCAACCATATCAGCGGCCTGAGAGGGCCAAAGGGGTCATTAGCGAAGGAAGATCAGATTTCAGCAATTCATCTTGGTCAAAGTGACCAGAGATGCTCAAACAAATAAGGATGTATAAGGAGGTGGTTGTGTACATTTCTTCTGTAATGTACTTTGGGGATCTTGGAGTCATTAATCAAACTCCAGCAAAAACACACCCACGCAATGCTTTACACACTTGGAGGCACAGTTAAAGCTCCGGTTCAGAGAGGTCAAGGTGCTAAATGTTACCGTAACTTGGAGAAGTTTCCAGAAACCCTGCAGCTTATCAAGGAGCAAACCCTTTCAAGTCCACTCTCTGCAACACACACGACACATTCATAACATCCTGAGGGAAACTTGACACAATTAGGGCTCTACATGGAATCATTTTCACAGAAAAGAGAAAAACACAATTAGCATAGCAAGTGCAACAGTATGCAGAGCGGCACCAAGTCCGTCAAAGGTAATGAAGGTCGAGAAGAGAAGCAAATGGCTGGAGATGTAATTCACAGACTGCTCAAACTTTGAAAGTGCATAAGCCAACTGCAACATAATTCATTAAATAACACATTAAAACAACAATACAACTTTAAAAAGCGTATGCCGTTCAAAATGCTGAACATAAAGGTTGCTTTCTTTACACGATCTAATCTATCAGAAGTATTGGACCAGTTGCTAAGATCAAGTTGGTTTTGATAGCTAGAGAGGTCCACCAACAAATTGCCACAATCCATAATATGGTTTTGTGTTACTTCATATGCAAAATTATGAAATAAGATATGCAAACAAATATCCTAAAATGTATATAAAGTGACGTTTCAACATGATGATTATATGTAGTTTTTAAATTTGGCAGTTTGTTTCACTGTTAGACATAGTACTTAGTATCGTCTTATCAAGAGATACTTTTGTGTTGAAAAGGGAAAAATAAAAATAGATGTTTTATATGTTTATTCAGAAACATTTAAAGATTAAAGCTATGACTGGGATGTTGTAGTTTTACAGAAATAAAACCTATTTAAAAAAGATACAGCAAAAGCAAGACTAATTGGAATACAAAAGCTTTATGATCTGATTTTAACCTGTTGATATCGACTGACTGTATAGAGTAAACAAACTAGGAATTATGTCAGCCTGCTGAAAGACTTGGCTACAATATAGAAATATTTAGAATATAGCATGAGAGACTCTTCAGTATAACCACACTTAAATCTCAGATGTGTAATCACAGGTTCAATATTTTATTTAGTTTATCCAAAATAGTAAACCAAATGTATTTAATTGTTTGACGCAGGTTCTCTAAATGCGTCAAATATAGATTAAGCATCTACCATAAAATAATTAAACAATTACAACTTTGCCAGTGGCTGTAGTGGTTTAAGACCCTTTTTTCACTACTTAATATCTTAAAAAATAAATAAAAAGAAAAAACTATGAAAGTTAATAGATCTGGCTACATGTTAAAAAGCAACCCAGCTTCACGGACATTAATGTTAGGAACAAATGTTTGATTCATCAATAGAAGTGTTTATATCAGGTCAATACTGTGACCAGAAGTCAAGTTTTACAGAAATAAAACACAGAGGTACAAAAAAAGAAGTATTTACTGAACAAAAATGTAAAGTACCATACAATCTGTACTCATGTCTAAGAGATTTTTTGTTTTTGTCCAAACTAAATACTTACGAAGGTATACAGGAAATAAGATTGTTTATGACTGAACTATTTATTACTTATTAAACTTATTCATTACGAAGTAATAGCAAATAATAATAATTGGACTTTATTGATCTCAAACTGGGTAAATTTACCTCTGCCTTTAACCCATCCCCTTGGTATGTAAGCCGAGAGCGGTTGTTTTAATCCTTTGCCTTCTTGAGATAATGGCATAATCATCTCGTTATCACGGTTAAACCATTAATTGATTTCTTGAGATAACGAAATGATTAATCTGTAGCAGTAATGAATGAGGCTGGCCAACAGCCCTGGATTCCCAGTCCATCCATGCCTGCAGTTGTAGTAGTTGTGCAGTCGCTGTACCGCTTGTCAGCAAATAATCAGTTTTTTTATTTGCTTTTTCTTTTCACACATGGTCAGGTCGTGGTGGATGATTGGATTGCATGGAATATATTAGAAAAAAATCTGACTGTTTTTTTTTTTTTTTTTTTTTTTATGAAAATCTTTTATTTGGACTCATTTTGGGGGTTAATGCATCTTATAACAGTTAGTGGTATAACCCCAGAGCTGTTTAGAAAACATGCGGTGGCAGAACACTAGCACTAAGGCGCTGGAGGCATACACTGTAGGTCTAGTTGCTAATGAATCAGAAGTGGAAGCAAATCATCTACCAACAATGTAATCTCGTTACCTAAAAGTTAAACACAAAATTATGAACAGAATTACACATATCCTCTTCCGCTGTTGTTGTATTGAAGGATGTAATCAGTTTTAACACACACCAATCATCTCGTTATGATGAGAAAACGTCTTTCTTTATGTTTAGATGATGACAAAATTAACAAATTTTTCAAGAAAACCATAAAAAAGGTATCGGAGGGAGCAGTGGGCAGCAACTGTGTGGCGCCCGTTGAGCACTGTGGGATTAAGGGTCTTGCTCAGGAACCCATAGTGGAGATCGAACAGGGTACTCGCAACCTTCTCAGAGCACAAGCGCACTGCTCTAACCCCTAGGCCAACACTCCCACCATTAGATACCGATGAAACATAACCACAAGTGATTAAATGACAGACACAAAAGTAGCGGTGCTGCCATGTTCTTGATGAGAGCCTTTTTCCTTCAAGCTGTTCCAAAAAAGTCAGACTCACTCAGTCTTTTATTAATGTACAATCAAATCAGAAGGTTTTAGGTATTTATTCCAAGCTTTGTTTAAATAATCCTTGCTATAATGTAAACAGTGAAAAAAAGCAGTTTGCTTCCCATTGTTGTTGAATTTGTAGTGTGCACATTTCGACAGCTGAATATATAAATATTACCGCACATGAATTGCATATTCGAAGCATGCTGTAATAGTCGGCAGTCTGCTCCTTATTCTCCAGCACTAAGGAACTCCAACTGTGTATTGTGCTGCATCTGATGAAAGGCTTGAATATTCAGCAAGACATATGGCGGAATGGCATCAAGCAAAGGAGCAAAGGTAGAGTAAACACTACGAAAAGAGAAGAGGATGCTTGGAGGATAGACAAGCTGTGAGCACGGGTGTTGCAAAGGGCGGGAAAAAATTGTATATCTTCTGTCAGACAATGCAAACACCTCTAATCCACAAACAAAAGCAAATGCAAGGAAATCCTGCTTGAAGCAGTCCTGACACCCTGCTGCACACATTCCGCCTTAGAGTTCAGAAACCATCACATCTGCGACTAAACTGAGTCATTCTGCCCATTTCATTCAAAAACTATTTCCTGGAAGGTAAACGTCAATAGCAAGATGCTCATCTACACTATGAGGGGCAATAAGAGGCATTATTTTCTTCTGTGTGAAACTTTTCATTATGTTTTTACTGTTTGCAAGTCTCATAAGAGCTGAACCATAAAAACCGAATGATTGCGCTGCGGAGAATGTGGGCAATGATGGTTATGATCATAATGTTGGAGGTTGACTGCAACAAAAAATCTCCTACCGTGGTCTGTGATTTTACAAGACACCAGATAGAGCTCCTTGAGGCTCCTTCCTTCCTTGGCAATGATTTCCACACACCTAGAAAGACACAAGACAGCAGAAATGTAAGATATTACAACAACGGTATGTGTGTGGGTGTGTGTGTAGATATACTATTAACAGTTTTAAACTCATGTTTTTCAACAGTAGATAACTTCATACACAGATGGAAATAAAACTGCTCATATTTATTCTGCTGTCACAAACATTTCCCACATGCATTGCGACAAAAAAAGAAGAAATTTAACATCTCTCTGAAATGATTGTCCATTCCAACACAGGATCCTATTTAGTATTAGAATAAAGGAGAGGAAGAGTTAAGCAGATAAATATTTCCCTTTCACCTCAAAAAGATGCAATATTTTGTCTGTTCATCACATACAGGTAAAGTAAAAATTTGAAAATTAGAGAAAAAAGAAACTTCAACAGTGTTAAAAAAAATTGCAAGGAACACATATATTTCTTTGTAAAATCCACTGTTATTTACCTCCACAAAGTTTTTTTTTTTATTATTGAGTAACACACTTCTTTGCCTGTGGGATTACACCAGCATAAAGGTTAAACAGTACTGCCGCAGGGTCAAAACTGTTCTGCCTCCACTTATTTTACCATACATTAATAATTAAACACCTGGTCTGATGAAAAAAGCTAGCACCACTACAGCAGGATTGTTGTGCATATTGTGCCTGTGAGCTCATGCACACAAGCACACACTGCTAAAGCTTTGCAGGCTCACTCACTTCAAAGAAACATATCTGAATTCATCCCCCTGCCTGGGCCCTGAGGACTGACAGAGTGTGCGTGCATGTGTGAGAGAGGAAGGATACGCAGGGGAGGCCCGAAGGCAAGATCAGAGTATCTGTATCAAATGATTCTCTTTAAATGCCTCTAATGAGAAGAGTGCATGCAACAACTAGATTTTGATCTTTGCATTTGACCCATTAACCTTCAACAGAAACCATTTTGATCTCGTTGCTGGTGTTGTATCGTGAAAACTAACGAATGAAAGACGGGAACACACGCCGGCACGATGCACAGCTCTGGAGGTGGTTGGCTTTCTGCTGTCGATGAGCCTCATGTCAATGGTAAGCAGGGGAACAATGTCAAAGTATTTGCTGTGGTGCTCTTTTCTGGGATCCAAGCAGAATGACTGATAGCTGTGGACATATTTGCTTTGAAACAGCTGGTCTTTGTTAAACCAAACTCGTACAAGTTGGAGAAGTTGTGAGGATTTTGTTACTTTCTCTAATTCTTTTTGTCCTGCATCTTCTCTTGCTAGCAAAGGGGAAACGAGAGGATTTGGAACAACTGGGGAATGCAGCAGGCAAAACTTGCAGAAAATCTGATTGGTGAGTGGTTTCATGGGTGGTTTTTTGTCCTTGGATTCACTTAAGGTGGCACAATCCATGAATGTGACTTGAGGTGTGATATGTCACACTAAAGGATTAAGAAAAGATGCAACTGAAAGAAAAGTTGATATGTGAGGGATATTTCTAAAAAAGAAATCTGTATAGCTGAGTTCAGTCAAAGATGTTAAAATGTGCCCCGGCCTGCCTGCTTTAGTTCACTGGACTGTATCTCTTATTTTTGCCTTTTCTATCACATTTCTCCTTCCTCTCTCTGCACGTTATCAGGTTGTCCTTTTTCCACTTTGTCACTTTCCTCTCCCACCTCTTCTTATTTATTTCCTGTCTAAATCTAGCTTCTTCTTTTTTTCCAAACTAAGCCCTCCGTCTCTCCATCTGCGGCCCCCACTGAATCATATAAAAAACAAAGGCTCCCATCCAAATAGAAAAACGACCTGTTGCAATTGGTCATTCCTGGAAGCTGCCTTGAGCTGCAGGCAGCCTTAGATTAGACCGAGTTAAGCCTGGAGGATCACAATATCATGCTGAGTGTCCTGAGGCTGGAGCATTAGAACTGCTAATGAATGAATAGCCTGGGTAGAGCCACTGAGAAAACAGATAAAAAAGAAAGCAGCGATCCAGGGATGCTGCGATGAGGGTGGAGCGCATCCTCTGGGAGCTTGTTACACTGCGCCCAGGTCCCAGGGGTGAGAGCAAAAGCAATTAGAAGTGACATCAATGAATGAAAGAGGGAGCAGGGAGAGCCTGAGAGCAACTACAGCAGGAAGCAGAGTGAGTAGAAATCTCTATATAGAATCGAGGCGGGCGCATCGCAGGAGACTGGCAGCGCAATAGAGGGGAGGAAAAAAGGAGATGAGGCCAGGGTGGAGGGAAATAGGAAAGAGGTGTGAGGCTAACAGGTGTGGTGCATAGTATGCCACATGAAAAGCCACTAAGACTCAAGAACATTATACCCCAAAAGGCTCTGCTCACATAAATTAGTGATCCGATCGCTTTCAATAGAGTATATGACAAAAGCCCAGGTTGTATCTGGAGCATATTTGCACCATTTTATATGAAGCTACTTTACCGAGCCGAAGCTAAGCTCAGTAATGCAGCGATGGGGTCGGAGGAAAGTAGAGAAAAAGGAGGAAACATGTTTATTAAAACTATTATGGGTTCATCTGCTTTTCTTTTGGTTTTTATCCAGTTGGGAATTGGGAAGAGCCTGTCACAGATTTCTAATATAAAATAGTTTAGACATGATATATATTTATACTGTATGTAAATAAAATGTTTCTTTACTGTGTTACATTCCAGCTATTTTCTGTTTTAGAATTAAAAATAAGTATTTCTACTTGTGAAAAGCTATACAGAAATGTTACTCTTGAGGGAATTGGTACAGCTGTCAGGTTTGTAGACTGCATTGCTCACTCATATCTTTTCACCTCTGCCCACACTTTTTCTATGAGATTAGGCTCAATGTCCCTTTGAAAGCTTATTTTCATCCAACTTCAACTTCTTGTCTTTTGTTTTAAGATATAGCTTTAACCTTTGTGCATTGCAATGTTTCCTTATAAATAACTTAATAAAGTGCACCAGTCCTTCCTGCAGCAACCTAACCTCACCACATGTAACACAGCCCCCTCTGGCTTTTCCTGTTTCTCTTGGATATGTAGCTTCTTCCTCTCTGAATGGAAGGTAATTATGCATTGGTGTGATCTGAATGATGAACTGAAATAAACTTAAAGAATGTGGGTTTTTTACAGATATTTTATTATTTAGCGAGAAGGAAACTGTGTTTTCAAGTAATGTCAGTTTGCTTTTGATAGCTTTGTTAAGATTTATTTATTTATTCTGGTTATTTTTGATCTTTAATGTGTGAGGGTAAGAGAAATGAGAAGAAACCAGTAAGGAGGTAAAAGCATTCCATGTACCTGTAAATAATACATTGTTAAATAAAATTTATCTGGACATGAATAAGTATAAATGCTACAATCAAAAGTTTACAGAAGGTTACAAGGGGTTTAATGGAACCATTTCACAATAATTACACTTTTTTGTGTTTTCAGTTCTTTCTGATCATACTTCAGAGTCACATGATCATAATTTACTACAGATTATTCTTTAACCAAACTTAAAACCTTCAGTTTACCTGTTTTTGTTAAACTGAAATTTTTCACTTTGATTTACGGTAGGTACTTTAAGGTGTCTTGGTGCGTTTATTCTCTAGCATGTATTAAAAATCACATTTGCCACTAAATAAAACTGCAAAAATCCTTTTAAGGAAAAACACTTATTATAATAATACAATAATTAGTCTGCAAACTATTAAAATAAATAATAATACAGCATTACAGATAGACCTATTGAGGAAAATGGGAAAAGAAAAGAAGATACCAAGTCTGAGTGATGATCGCTTATTTTTGCAATGAAAAAGTTAGGAGTTGAGGACAAAAGATGAAAATTAAAAAGAAAAAGAAAGCTTCGCAACACAAGGGGTAAATGATGATGGCAAGTGAAAACAAGGCTGGAAAGTTTACCTCAGGGACAAACACTGAAATAAAAAAAATGCCCAGAGAGAAAATTTTGATATAGTTATGTGGTTTTCTCATGTGCAGCCAATTTTTCCCAATTTAATGACAACGAATCCTTTTTCATTGCAACAAAGAGCATTACTGTAACCAGAGGCTAGTATCTGAAAGACAGCTAAAGAGGCTCATCATGGGTCAGCATGTGGTTTACTGGCACCAACAGTTGGATGTTCAACAATAAAGCTGCCACTCCCTTTATTTTTTTACCTCAAACTTTCAGAACAAACTTTTCTGCACTGTTATCATACAAGAGACACTTTAACTTGCATTTGATTAGAAAACATGACATTTTGTGACTAAATCAAATTTTCATTTAACAGTACTCAACCTTGAGAACTTTACTGAAACCCCATTAATCTCTTGCTCTATTCAGAGAGAGTCTGCTGCCTAACAAAGAACTGAATATGTTTACTTAGCGCTCACCATAAGACAGAAAGAACAACTGTATTCATCTGAAAACTATAAAACCCTTGTCTGTCTGATAATTATATGAAATGGGTTTTTAAAGTATAAATTATTTTGTGACATTATCTCTGAAAAAGACTGCTGATCCAGGCTAATAAATGTTTCTTGCGACGTTCTGTCCTTTTAAAACACTAAAAATTATCATAATGAGGGATACTAAACCATCAGTTACACCTTCAGTATAGCAACAAGTGTCCATGTCAGTTTTTAGACCAGTTTTATTTCTTTATAAATTGCTTTAAAAAAGGAAAAACTAAAATACACATAGAGATAGTAAAGAGCAATAAGCAGTAAAGTGCAGGTCAGACAATATAAGCAGTGGAATCAGCAATGAAAGGCAAACAAGGAATAATGGTCGTGCTCTTTTGAACTAAAAGGGAGTTTCTAAAAAAACATTTTTAAAAGAGACTTAAATTGTTTCAAACAGAGAGGGAACCAATTCTAGAACCTGACTTAAAAAGCTCAGTCTCTCCAGGTAACAATAATAATCCTGTAGTTTCTAGGGGATATTATTGCAATCAGTTTAATATGCTGCTTCAATCAAGATTAATCAGTCAAACGTTTGAGAGAACAGAAGCATTATAATCACTCTTATTAAAAAAGCCTGTTTAAAAGCATCCGGAACACAACCTGA